ACTACTTGTATGATGAGACTTTTGATATTTACACAGACCATAAGAACTTAAAGCATATATTCACTCAAATAGATCTCAACATGCATCAGAGGCGTTGGATAGAGCTTCTCAAGAATTACGATTGTAAGATCTTGTATCATTCGGGTAAGGACAATATGGTAGCTGATGCGTTTAGCAAAAAAAATGCAGATATGTAGGCTCACTTAATAGTTTCTGAATGCAAGGTAATAGGGGCTGCACAGCAAATACGGCTTCAGGACTTGAAGAGGGTTACATGTCTGACCCATCTTACTGTCCCACTTGGACTGATTCAGAGAATAAAGGAAGCCCAACTGACTGATTCCACCCTAGCAGTTTGTAGGAAGGATGCAGAACATGGAGTAAATTTAGGATTCCGAGTCTCTACTGATGGGTTGCTCAGGTTCCAGGACAGGGTGTGTGTTTTAGATGACAGTGAACTAAAAAGAGACATCATGACAGAGATTCATAGCTCAAAGTTTGTCATGCATCTAAGAAGTACTAAGATGTATCAAAGTATGCGGCCCTGTTTTCTGGTGGAGTGGGATGAAAAGAGAGATAGTCAATTTCGTCTCCAAATGTCTTGTACGTCAATAGGTTAAGGCAGAGCATCAACGTCCAAACATGATACTTCAGTCATTACCGATCCCGGAGTGGAAATGGGAACATATCACCATAAATTTTGTGACAGTGTTGCCTAAGGTACACTCAAGACATGATGCTATCTGAGTAATTATCAACCGACTCACTAAGTCCTCTCATTTTTTAGCTATCAAAATGACCGACCCCTTAAACAAGATAGTAAAAATTTATATCGAGGATATAGCCAAGCTACATGGAGTTTCGATGACGGTGTATCCGACAGAGATCCTAGGTTTACCTCTCAATTTTGGTCTAGTTTTTAACAAGTAATGGGAATGAAACTATCCTTCAACACTGTATTCCACTCTCAAACCGATGGACAATCATAACGGATAATTCGCACACTTGAGGATACGCTCCGAGATGTTCTAGAATTCGGGGGTCATTGGGATGATCACCTACCTTGATAGAGTTCGCCTATAATAATAGCTACCAATCGAGTATCGGCATGACCCCGTATGAGACATTGTATGACTGACCCTGTAGGTCGCAAATCTGTTATGAATAGATTGGTGATAGAAAGTTGTTTGGTCCTGATCTTATAGAGGAGACTACAACTAAGATAGTTAAAATCAGAAAGAATATCCAGACAGCTTAGAGTAAACAAAAGAGTTATGTTATGCCAACACTTGGAAGAGAGATTTAGAACTCGAGAAAAGCGATCGAGTATTTCTTAAGGTCACTTCTTTCAAGGAAATCAGCAGGTTTGGTAAAAGAAAAAAATTAAATTCTCGATTAATTAGACCGTTTGAAATCTTAGACAGGATTGGTACGTCCGCTTATAGACTAGCACTACCTCTAGCGCTATCTAGAGTCCATAATATGTCTATGCTACGCAAGTACAACCTGGACCCCTCACATATCTTATCTCACAAGCCCCTTTCACTTCAGGAGGATCTATCTTATAAGGAGGTACCAGTAGACATTGTGGATTGGAAGAATAGAGTACTTTGTAATAGATAAATTTCCTTCATCAAAGTCCTATGGCAAAATCACACATAGGAAGAGGCCACTTGGGAGTGAGAATCGGACTTCAAAACCCAATACCTTCAACTATTTAACTAAGTGAGAAGGTGATAAATTTGAAGGACTAAATTTTTTTTTAATGGGAGAAAGTTGTAATACCCGGGCTCGAAAATCGGCTCGAGATAATTTTTATTACATTTATAAAATATATAAATAATTTAAAAAAATTATTTAATTTAAATTTTATTAAATTTTTTACAAAAAATAAATTAGACGCGAAATTAAAAATAATTTTAGAGAAAATGGGTAAAATTTTGGATAACAGAATGTTTTTAAAAGAAAACTTAAACACATAAAGTAAAATCACAAAATAAAAAATTTAGCTAAGTGGGACGTATCAGCAGTCATGGCGAACTAGAGTACATCACGTGGAAGGCACACTGACATTAGCATCACGCGGGAGGTCACCCGAGCGATCCGTGTATCTGAAAATATAACGGTCCAAACCTCATCCCACGTGCATAAACAGCCAAGATGCATTCATTCTTTAGACGCAATCGGATGGACGAGATTGATTGCGATAGACAGTCCAAATTCGTCAACACAATCAACCTAAATGGGGAATCATTGAATGACCCTCCTCACCCCACGTCGGCTCAAATGAGCAACTTAGATCGAAGAGAATATGAGTATTTAAACTCCTATTCGCAGGGAACCAAAGCCCTAGTCGACAGAGGGGTGACTGGAGAAGAAGAAGAATGGCGGTTGGAGAAAAAATCAGATGCTGGAGAAAGAGGCCGACAACTATCACCGTCGCACCAAAGCCACCGCCGATGCTAAAACATGTACTTTTTCCCCTTTTCTAGCTCAAAATTCAATCTCGAACCTCCATGTGTCCATATTGGAGCCAAAAGATCAATGGGTGAGTCAAAAACCAGGGGCAAAACTCGACTAAGCCGCCACGACCAGAACCCGAAACCCTCTCTGATGATCCCTTTGTCATTTCCCATTTCACACAATTCTTTGACCACAGTATTCACTATCTTTTTCTAATGCAGGTTAGCCAAAGAGGAACCCCAACTACGAATGAGGACCTACGGAGCCGCCACACCTAGAGACACCCCCGCCGGTAGGTTTTAGTTTTTTTATTTTTTTGACTAACCAAGATTCCCTAACATATTTTTTCACAGAGATACGTGTAAAACTGATCAAAATCGACCAGGCTTAGGCGAACCACCACCGTGGGTGACAGCCAGCGCCGGAGCATGGCAACACCGTCGTGCTGAAACCCTAAAATTTGCTAGAAAAGTTTTTCAACACCGATTTTGTTATTTTGGAGTATTTTTGAATACATAACGAGTATTTTAATTTTCGCAAAGAAAATTCAAGAAACTTGAGGACCGTTAGGAGGCGTAGGAGACATACAGTATTTCAAAATACTCTGTTATGATAAATTGAGGCTTAATAATCAATAAATCTTATATTTTATGAAAATTAAAAAAATCCTAAAAATAATTACATATCACTAGTAGAGCTTAAACCAGTCAATTCATGTTTGCCCTGATTCACTGTTTATTTTCCTATGCTACTTAAATTACTTACTATTATATTGTGCATATTAAGTTGATAATTTTAATTTATTTTCTCGATTGTTTTGTTTACCTTACTGCACATTCCTTTGCTGGTCTATTCTGCAATAATTGTCTCAATTATATTCTTAATGTATGTATCACTCCTTTGCATAACTTGTCATTGATATGAGAATATAAGATATTGGTATGTAACTGGTAATCAGTTTGTGGTGTGATTCCATGTAATAAAGGCTTACTAGGTATCCTGAGAACAAGTCGACAGATCCGGTACTTAAGGAACCCTACTGTGGACATTACCTCAGTCGGACGAGGCTGAGAAGTCTTATACCCAAAGGATTTGAAAGATATGATTTACCCTTATACTGAACGGGGTATCAAGACGATAGTATGTTTGGCACCCATTACCGAACGATGTATGGAGACAGCCAAGCTAATTGACAAATCTAGATATTGCATTCATGAGTAGAAAAATATCCCTATAGACCCATAAAGATTTTAGTAAGCAGGTAAAAAATGGAGAATTGGCTACCTTACTCACTTGTATATAAAATCATAATGTTATATGAATATTTGTCTCATAAGTCGATTTTAAAAAACTCGTAACGTTAAGTATGGGAATAATGTTTTTAATATTAAATGAATTTACCTAAATTAAGGGCTCCATTAATTGTTTTGTAATTTTTACCAACCTCTATTTTTTGTATCAGTGATTAGTGTGATATTCTTAGTAGGCTAGTGTAATCACTCTTCTATTAACCATTTCATATTAAAAAGACAAAAATTCAGAACCAGATCAGTAAGAGAATTGTGAGTAATTTTTCTCTCGAACCTCCTTTAAGTGTTAGTGGAGGTTAACCCCCTAGAACATTTAATTATTTGTTTTCAATAATTTTTTTTTTACGAACTGTTGTAAAAAGAACATTTTCTTAATCTTATTGGCTAATATAATTTACTTGTAAGAAATGTAAAGCCTAATTTATTTATTTACTTCCGTATTTAAAATATAAATTTATTTTCTTTACATTTTAGAATTTTACAATTAATTTTTAATAAAATAAAAGTAATTAAAAATATCTTCATATTTTTATATTTTTGTTAAATTTAATTCTATAATTTTATACTAAATTATTCTTTTCATTTATAAAATAAATAACTTTAATTTTGCAGACACATGCCATTTTAAAATTACAGAAGAATGACATAAGGTAATAGTATTTTTATCCAAAATATTTATAAAATATTTTAAAACATGAAAAAAAAAATGAAATTGGGTAAAGAATTATAATTACTTTTTAACAAAAAATTCCTTAAAAAGGTTACGGTTAGAACTAATGATTTTTGTGAACAAAAGATATAATTTGATTCAATACCATAATGTATGGTGGTGGGAAGATGTAATTTAATACAAATGTAAAAATACATGGGTGTCTTTACGTATTATCTCTAAAACAATATAGAGTATGAAAACGACAACGTAGCACACCATTTTTTAATGAATAGGTGATGGAACATTAATAAAATTCAAAATATTTTACTTTTCTATTCCATTTAAAATAGTTTATTATTTTGCAAAAAGAAATAAAACTCTCATATTTTTTTGAATTATAAATGAAAATGCATATATTTAATTAATAATATGAAACAAACACACTAATATAATATAATTTTTTAATCAGAACTTAAAAGAAAATACATGGAACCCATATATATAAATAAAGCTCATTGGCTCCAAACTCAGCCTTAAACAATAAAATGCCAGATATGTAATTAAACACTTCGGGATAACAGTAACTCGCGTTGTGCTCACATAGACTTAGTTTATTTATTGTGAAATTATTTTATATACAATCTTTAAATATACAGATATACAAGATGAATTTGTGACTGCATAATTTGACATAGCCTTAAAAGAGTTACCCGTGAGTGAATTTTTTGTCTGTACATATATACACAAGATCGGATAGTTGCAGGGGAAGTAGTCAGTGGCAACATAATAATGCTTTAGTTCCTCAACGAAAAGCTATCTGGCAAAACAAAGAGAAATTAAAGAATGGTACAGTCGCCAAAGGAATAATAGGAAAAGAAAAAGAAAAAATCAAAGTCACAAATACAGTACATGCATAATTCAGCACAGGACTTTGAGCTCTATTGAGATTTAAACTTGTAATGCTTTAAGCAGAAAAAGAGTTGGAATACTTTACTTTCAGATATTAATAAGTTGTCCCTGTATTTGGTAAAATCAGAACTTTTAAGAAGAAAAATGGAATGTGCTGGTCTGTTAATTAACAGTTATCTAAATATAATATTTTGTTTGATAAAGGATGTGTTGATTGAAAAAAAAAAGATCAAAGAAACTAAAGTTTCTTACTTAACAGCTCTAAAAAGTTTGACTTTGGAACTCTTTTTCTTTAGGCTAAAACCCTATTAACTTTTAGCATTATTAAGGTGATGCAAACACCAGGTTTTTAATCAAAGTATACTTTAAACACCTTTGACCACAAATCTATTCCAACACTCATAATCCTGAGGCGTAATGAGCACTAATTCCCAGAGCTAATCAAGCACTGTCACAACCACTACTTCTGGTAGCCGTTTGAACAATGGGAGCAGAATAATAATACACTGAGAATGAAAATTACCTTAGATCAGTTGCTTGAGCTACCAAGATCAAAATCCATGGTGTAATCATACTCAATTGTCGGAATTACAGAGGTCATGAATTTCAAGAATATGACAAGGTACCTACAAAGTAATTGATAATAAATTAGCCATAATTTAGGTTACAAAGTTTTATCCGTGGGAAAAGTAGATGTATTTGGTTAGCAGCAACCAGCCTGAATTGTGCAATTAAGTAGCAAGAAAGATGTATAAGCATGCATACTTATGGAAGCATTTGAAAAGGTCAATAAAATAGTAATTTTGCATTATATAAAGGAGCATCTAACTGGCTTTGAAATGACCAGTTTTAATTTATCTGGTCAGAGCTTGTACAAGTATAGTACAACAGCTATTGATAAATCATGTTATTATCAATGATAAAAGGAAACGTACTTGTCAACTTCAGGCTCCACGCCATGTGACATTAGAACATCAATAATTTTCTTCATTACAGCTCCATGTCGACAGGGATGAACAGACGCATGCTTCCCAGGCAAGTGAGGATGATCTTCAATAGTTACCTTTATATGATAGAAGTTCAGATCATAAGATACAATTTTTAAAACTTTACGAAATACAATCAGTCAAATGAAAGAACCACCATTTTCAAAATAGTTCGATGTGAATTGACAATTAGTAGAAGACAAACTAATGAAACAAAAATTATATGCACTCAGAAATTAGTCTTTGACAATCCGAAATTTCTAAAATTTCTACAAAGAGGTCATTTAGAGCATTTCATGCAACAATTTAAGAAGCAAATGTTAAGCGAAGTAAAATCAATTTGCACAAGTAAATTCCATTGATGCACAGACAAGCTTATTCATATAATCTTAGCTCTTGGACATGGATTACTAACCGCCAGGCAGAGAATGGGAAAAAGATTGACCGGTTAAAATTTTATGCAACAGACTATAACGATATTTTAGCTCAATGATTTAGATGTCTTAATCAGAGGGGAACAAAAAACTTCAATGCTCCTACTGAAAACCCCACTTGAAGGTATCATAAATTATTTATCCACCACCAGGGAAAACAACTATTTAGCTCCATGTTCCAGGAGCTTTATTAATATTTTTATAAATACTTGAAATCTGTGTCATCAGGAACCAAATATAAAGGAATAGAGATGAATTCTCTAAGGGGAGTGCAATGAATCTCAGACATAGATGGTGCTCCAAATCTCACCGTTTTACGTGCATGGTCTTGACTAACATCCTCAAGGACAAGTTCTGGCTGCAATAGCATCCTTGACTGCCACAAAACACCCGAAGATTCTAAATAAATATAGTTGTTAATTATAATTCGTTCAGCAAATATGCATACATTCAGGAAATTATTTCAGAACATTTGAAACAAAAGAAAGAACCAGTCAAAGTTTGCGAGAGATTGTCAAGCATGACAAATAATCTTTTTTTTTCTTTTTTTTTATTAAATAAAAAGTCTACAACAAAAAAATCAATACATGAAATACTCTTCAAAAAAAAAAAATTGGAAACTGATGATTAACAAAACAAAGCCACAAAGTTGAATGTATTAGGTGAGAGACCTCATCATATCCAGTGAGCCAAATGCGTGGAGTTTGGTAGTATTTATCATACCTGAAAAGAAAAAGAAAGCCATTTCACAATGGTCAAAAGATCTTCAAGGATTTCAATAAGATTGGTGCACCAATAAATGCACTTTTCTGAGGAAAAATAATATTACGAATGAATGGCAGAAGAGACTGTTCTTTCTTTAAGCAGTAAAAAGTTACTGCACCGGAGAAATTGATAATAGTGACTAGTGGCACACTTTCTTTTAGATTATAAAGTTTAAGTTGAAATCATTTTTGCAAGGTCACTGGAAAAATCTCCCACTTATATGGCAAGAAGACAAACAGAAAAAAATTTCCATAATAAATAAAACAAATGAGCTATGCTCTTGCAATATTGCCAACCATATGTTCATCGACCAAAAAATTATTACAGGATTCTACAAAATTTTGTGGGCAATCTAACAATCTTACTAGGGAAGCAGCACCAGCTTTAAAATCTATAACAATTCAAAACCCCAGCTCAATTCCAAACCCCACACATTTTCTCTCTTTATAATCCAGAATAACTTTAAATAACCTGGTTGATCCAACTCCCATCACTCTAACCACACTTAGATTAGAGGTTAATTTGCCCCAAGGAAAAAATACAAGTTTATCCTCCCATCAGAATCTATCAACAAGTTATCTATAGAAAGGAATAGAGTCCTCAGCAGATCAGTCTCCAAACTACTAGACTTGTTAGGTGCTCTCTTATGACCTTTTCAAGGTAATATTGCTTGTCAAAACATCCTCTTAACAGAAGCCAATAGGCTCAAATTATCAATATATGAAGACTCCTCAGCATTAAACATTAAAACATAAGATAACATGCGTTTACCCTTATGAAAAACCACAAATCAAATAGGATGTTTGGGATTGCTTCAAGAAATGTGCTTAGAGCTGATAGATTTTTATTTCAAATATAAGCAATTATACGGTTGGATAAAGTACTAATTGCAAAAAAGGAGTGGTATTTTTTTGTAAAAAAAATAATAAAAATGTACAGTATTATAAAAAAAACAGAACCTAAAATGTTAGGAATGATATATCTATTTTTTACCTTTTTAAAATCACTTTAACCTAGTAAGTACCTTCTACCTAAAAGAGAGATTGAGACCAAGTGCACAAAGGTGCTCAAGTAGAAAATGAGCAATCCCAAACACCACCAAAAATAGACAACTAGCTAAGACAAAAACCCTGGAGATATCACCTGGAACCTAAAGCATTTCAGTGCAAAAATCACAGTGGATACTATACTTACGAGATGCTGACATCATAAGTTCGGGTCCGCAGAATATTATCATCAGCAGGTTCATGAGCCACGAGATATGTAGTCTGAAGTGTTGCCTGTGCAAAACTAATAATAAGCTCAAATAGCAAAAACAGGTAGCACAATAAAATCACATCAACAAAGACAGATCATATTAATACAAACTTATGCCATTTTTAACCTATGCTCAAAAATTGGTCAAAATTTAGAAATCGACAGATTATCAGAAGGGTGTGCCAATAATTATAATCAGTAGCTGATACCATGCATACAAATCAAAGACAAATCATTTAGTGAAAACATATTCATTTTCAAACCCCTGTTCAAGATACTTCTCAGCATCTAAAATTTCAAGTACCAGAAAGGATGTTCATGTCTTCATAATGAATGGTTGAAACCTGTAGTATTATCATCATTGTTGCACCATGGTGCAGAGATAAATTTGATTTGACCTTTTGAATTGTAGTCTTATAAGTTACCTGAGGATTTATTTTCTCTGGGTGAAGGAGAGTAAAGTAAGACACTAAATGGGGGTTTGCTAATAAGCTTAGCAAGTAGCGGTTTGCTAATAGGGGTTTGATATCAAACTCCATATGGTAGTTTTCAAAAAGTTCAACAAAGACAACTAGCGGTAATCCAAACCCCTCATTACCCCTCAAAAGCTCTAATTTTCAACCCCAAAATTGGGGGGTTTGAGATGATTTCATAATTTTCAATTTCCTAGTTTAGTGCCTAATCTATTTCTTCTAACCTTATTAGCAAACCCCTATTTACTGTAGCCCTCAAATTTACAAACATTGAACTTGTATGAGCTTAACTTAAAATAAATGAGCTTACAAGCTCTTCACTAGCTTAAACTTGTATGAGGTTTAAGCTGTTGAACTTTTTTATTAAAAAGAATGCTAAACGCACTTATTAATTTGATAAAAATTGAAGAATCTGATAAAAAGAAGTTTTTGAACTTGAAGTATAAAGTTCAAGGATAAAAAACGTCCTTTACTTAGTCTAACACAAGACTATTTATTGGCTGGGTGGTCAGTACTTCACCCTTCTCCAGGAGTATATCGGCTTGAGTTCTGGTCTATTTGCCCCAGTAGCAGGCATGAAGCAAAAATGGAAAAGAAAAGTTACACCCTCCAGCTTTTAGAAAAGCATTATTACAAGAGCTTATACACTATATAGCTTATAAGCTTTTCATCAATTACTAAACAAACCACCAGATATTTTTAAGTTCTTACAAAACTCATTTCCCTCTACCAGAGAGTAAGCTTGGAAAGTTAAAAAATGTATTGCCAATGTAGCACCCGAGCCCGAAAATTAGGTCTGAGATAATTTAATAATATTAATAAAATAAAATAAAATAATTTAATTTTAATTTTTAGTAGATTTTTTAAGAAAAATTGTGTTTTGTATGAATTTGAAAATATTTTAAAAAATTATGGATAAATTAAAAATAAGGGATGATTTATTTTTAAAAAAATATATAAAAAATTGATGCAAAAGTGAAAACAATAAAACTTTGGTCACATGCACCGCCACATCAGCAGCGTGGCCGGTCGCCGTGTGCCGCGTGGCAAACACGTGGGCACGTATCTACGCGGGAGGCGACGTGGGCGATCTACGTGCCAGCTAATCCAACGGCTCAGATCTCCTTTCGTGCACACGGACGGCCCAGATTCGTTTTCCCTTCAGGCATGATCGAACGGTCCTGATTTCATTGATCGTGTGTCCAGATTTATTCCCCATATAAGATTGATCCAACGGCTGAGAATAAGTCATGTCTCCTCGAACGGACGGCCCGAATTTAGTGAAGAGTAGTATTTAAACCCCTCTTCCACAGAAAACCCTAACCTAGCCGCCAAGAGGAGATCAGAGAAGAAGAAGAAGGGCGGCCGGAAGCCAACCAGTCGTCGGAGAATAAGACTGGCCATCGTCGCCACCGCACTAGAGCCACCGCCGACGCCAGAGAGGTAAATTTTTCCCCCTTCTCATTCGGAATTCTA